AGGAGATGTGGGCAATGCAGCATAGCACTAATGATAACCCTATCCTACCCGATAGTGACTCTAAGAGCTCAGGATCATCAGGGAATATACCCAGTATACAAGCTAGAAGGAAGGAGGCTACTTCATTTTGAAGGAAGAAACATTCATGCCACCTAAACCCACATGTTGAAAGGGACATTTGCCAAAGGAATACCCATTCACCTTTAGTATTTCATACTCTTTTCCCAGTAGACAGTTTGCACTGATGTGTTTTATAGAATAAATATTGAGCAATTAAATTGGACAACAGTGAACAATTCTAAATGGGGAGGGGGAGTGTAGCTCCTGCTGGGTGGCCTCAGGAAGTTGCTGACTTTGCACTGCCTTGGAGATCCAAGAGCCAGTGTACCCAGTGGTGACACCTTAGCAAGGGTTCAAGTTCCCTGGTCCAGGTTAAAATGGAAAACAATCCAGGGCTGAGTCAGATCCAAAGGCAGCAGGATCTCTGCCTAAATATCTTTTTTTAAAAACTCAAAACTAATACCTCATCCTTCATTCTGAAGTCAGTGAAAGCACCAAGCATAATGATGAAATTTAACAAAAACAGAGTCTAGTCAAGTCCAAGTTTTTCAAGGGCTTATAAAAGACCTTGATATGGCCCAGCCAGTATGGCTCAGTTAGTTGAGCGTTGTCCCATGTACTGAGAGATCACTGGTTCAATTCCAGTCAGGACACATACCTGGGTTGTGGGCTTAACCCCCAGTAGCGGGTAGCTGTGCAGAAGGCAGCTAATTAGTGTTTCTTTCTCATAAATGTTTCTATGCCTCTCTCCCTCTCCCTTCCTCTCTAAAATATCTAAAAGAATGTATTTTTTTAAAAGACCTTAATATGAAGCTAACATAGTACTTCACATGGAATGATTGCTTAATACATGCTCAAACAATAGATCAGCTTAATAAATGAACCAAAGGTATACAGTGGTGTAAAAGAGACTTAAGGTCCCCGTTTATCATCAGTGAAGTTTCAACAAAGTTAGTCTATGAGCTGTCCCATCAATATCATCATTCAAGCAGATGACAACTGGGATTCTTCAAGAGCCCCATATTCCCTGGGGATCTCAGGGTTGCAACTACAGGCCCAAATAAAAAATTATCCCTAGCTGCTACTGATCCAGCTCATTGGTTTTGATCCAGCTCATTACAGAACTTCCCAGATCTGTTACTCACAGAAGATCCTTCCTCTTCATGTAAGCCTTCTTTTCTCAGCTGTATTTTTTCTAAAGGGCGTAAATAAGGACTGTCCCAGCAGAACCACTCATCGTAACGATGGTTCCAACGCTTGAAATGGATAAGTACTTTTCCTTCTTCGTAATCAATATCTTCTATGTGAGCTGGATACCTAAGTCAGAAAAGAAAATTGAAATGCCTATAAATACCCACCCAAAATATCTAAAACAGTACCCTTCCAAATCTCTTTCCAAAGGGATAGGTTATCGAAGTACTAAATAAAACCATCATTTAGAGGCTCTACATAATGGTGTCCAATCACAAATTATGAAGGCTAAGAGGCATGGAGTTCAAATCCCAACCTTGATATGCCTAACATATGAACTAGTATTAAATTAACCTTGTCCCCTTATGTGAAGTGGAGGAAGGATACACAGCACACTGGACTCTAATGCAAATTAAACAAGATGCCAGATACACAAGACCTGGGCACAAAAGAAATAGGAAGTAAACATTTAATAACTAGATTACATTTCACATGTACCAATAAATTAGAATGATCATGCAACCAGACTGTATTAGTCAGTCTCAATTTTTTTAAAAATATATTTGTATTGCCCTAACTGGTTTGGCTCAGTGGACAGAGTAGTGGCCTGCAGACTCGAGGGTCCCAGGTTCGATTCCGGTCAAGGGCATGTCCCTTGGTTGTGGGCACATCCCCAGTAGGGGGTGTGCAGGAGGCAGCTGATTGATGTTTCTCTCTCGTCGATGTTTCTAGCTCTCTATCCCTCTCCCTTCCTCTCTAAAAAATCAATAAAATGTATTTAAATATATATATATATTTGTATTGATTTCAGGAAGGGAAGGAGAGAGAGAGAGCTAGAAACATCAATAATGAGAGTCATTGATCCGCTGCCTCCTGCACGCCCCCTACTGGGGATCAAGCCCACAGCCCAGGCATGTGCCCTTGACCAGAATCCAGGACTCTTCAGTCCACAGGCTGACACTCTATCCACTAAGCCAAATCAGATAGGGTGAGACAGTCTCAATTTTAAGAATTTTGCAATTCATAAAGTGGAATACCATGCAGTTGTTAAAAAGAACAAGATGGTTCTGTCATGACACAGAAAGCTCTCACAAGATGAAATATTAAATGAAAAGAGCAAGGTACAGAATACTGTGTATGATAAGTTATTACTATTTTTTAAATGAAAAATAAATATATTCATTTATGCTTAAATATACATAAAATAGTTAGGAAGATACACAAGAAACTAATAATGGTTACTTGTATAAATATGGTCAGTTCAGTAGATGAACTCATCCAATCTCTTTTCTACTCCTCTTCTAGACTGAGATTTGGGAAAACCAATAACTACATTTCCCTGACTCCCTTACAATTGGCAATCAAGCCTGGCTGGTGTGGCTCAATTGGTTGAGTGTCATCCCACACACCAAATGCATCAAGAGGTCACCAGTTCAATTCCCGGTCAGGGCACATGACTGGGTTGCAGGCTCCATTGGCATACAGGGGACAGGCAACTGATGGTCCTCTCTCTCCCCCGATCTCCCTTCCTCTCTCTCTAAAATCAATAAAACATTAAAAAATTGGCAATCAAGGTGATGGAGACCATGGATTTAGAGGCAACCTATAGTGGCCAGATCTAAAGCTCCAGTGCAAGGCTTCTCATACTTCCTTGTAATCAGGCCCAGCCAGCATGGTTCAGTGGTTGTGTGTGGACCTATGAACCAGGAGGTCACGGTTCAATTCCCGGTCGGTCAGGGCACATGCCCAGGTTGTGGGCTTGATCCCGGTGTAGGGGTGCAGGAGGCAACCAATCGATGATTCTCTCTCTCACCCTCTCCCATCCTCTTTGAAATCAATAAAAATATATTTATAAAAAATTATAAAATGCAGATTCTGATTCAGTAGGTGGCGCTGGGCCTAAGATATTTAAACAAGCTCCCAGATGATACTGATTTGCTAGTCTGTAGTAGCAATGTCTAGTCACTAGCTTCCTGAGTCGGTCAAGCAGCAGTGGTGGAAGGGTGGCAGTAACAGTAGTAACTTCCTGACCTCCAGATCACAGTTTCAGTGGTGGGTCCCTCAGACTGATAATTTAAGGGAGCCCCCTTGGGCCTTACTCCTCCAACCCAACAATTTAAAAGTACCCAATTTCTTGTGTTAAACCCTTTTGTGGTTAAAGTACCCAGAGTGGTTTCTGTTTCCAGCATTTAAACCTGATGGATACAAGGGAGGAACTACGTATGGAAAGGGCAAAAGTGAAAGGGAGACTTTTTGTCGTTTATCTTTTAATACTTTTTCATTTTTCAACCACATAAATGTATTGCTCATTCCAAAAATAAATGGTTAAAAATAAAAATAAAAAATATTGCATGCAATTGTTCTCTTAATCAGATTGCTATTCTAGGTTGAGAAAATTTAGATTCTACCAGTATTTTCTCCTTGCAACTTGGATTTGCATCATTTCCTTTCCTGTATCTAGCATCGCTGTACTAATAAATAAGTGCTACCTAAATGAATAGGCCTGCTGCTTGTGTCTGTATGCTATGTCCTCTTCAATATTACACTAGTATCCTTTAAAGCAGTTTGAGGATGTTAATCTATCACAGTAGGCTGCAAGTACTGGGCATTCTATAAATGTTCAGCATATGCATGCAACTCTTCCTATTCTTCCCCAAGGTCACACGTCCTGTCAATTCTCCAATCCAAAGGCTCTCAAACTCCAGCTACCATTTCAATTTCAGTCACTGTCCAAATTTAGGCCCCCATCAATCACTTCATGTGAGTATTTCTCACACAGGACTAAAAGGATATGCTTTTTAAAATTCCTAATAGTACAACCATATATTAATTGCTCAAAAAATATTAACAGAGGGGATTAAACAGCTCTGAAACTAGTCTCCGTACTCCAATCCAACTGACATAAAGTTGATATAAATACAAGATGTCTTGACAGCAGAACAGCTAACTGTAAGATCTGATGAACTGAGTAGTACAATTGTGGGAGATGAAAGAGGTTTCCTCTCTATAAAATAGGGAGAAGGACATGGATATCTCAATTATATTTCTCCTGCTATATTATTCATTTAGCCTACCAGAGACTAGTGAGCTTCCCTAAAACAACACAACCTGCCTTAACACTCCTATTCAAAGCCCTTTCTTTAATGGTTTACTATCACAGGTCTTTGGGCCAATGCATAAAATTTATTTTTCACAGAATTAAATTTATATAATTTACAGAATTTTTCTTTATACAAAAATAACATCTTCCTAACTTCCTGGTAGTTAAATATATTTTTATTAAAACAATGGTAACTGGTTTTAATTAAATGAGGGTACTAACTAATATTATGCAGCCATTTAAAAAAATTAGGCAGCTCTCTATGTACTGATTTTAAAAGGTTTCTAAGAAAAGTGGAAGGGGGAATCGATTCAAAACGGTATGAATGCACTACTATTTCTTTGGGGGAATGGTAAGCTACCAATACATTTTTACTTGTTTTAACTGTGTGGGCTATCTCTGGAAGGATGATCAAGCAACCCGGTTTGCCTCTAGGGAGGGGAACTGGATAGTTAAGAAACTGAAGAGGAAGTATGAGACTCATTTTATTCAATGTATAACCTTTTCTATGTTTTGAATGTACCATGAGCATGTATTAACTATAAAAAGTATATAATTATACACTTATTTTAAATATCCTTATTTGGCAAAATAAAAAGTTGGCAACCTCAGGACAAACCCCAAGTTCTTTTGAACTTGCACTGGTCAGTGTCTTCTATGTCAGCAGTCGCCAACCTTTCAACCCTCATGGACCACCAGCAGTCCATGGACCACCAGCTGGCAACCGCTGTTCTATGTGCCCTTACTGGGGAATCAAACCCACAACCTTGGCGTATTGGGACAATGCTCTAACCCAGTGGTTCTCAACCTTCCTAATGCCGAGACCCTTTAATACAGCTCCTCATGTTGTGGTGACCCCCAATTTCATTGTTACAAATTGAACATAATTAAAGCATAGTGATTAATCACAAAAACAATATGTAATTATATATGTGTTTTCCGATGGTCTTAGGCGACCCCTGTGAAAAGGTCGTTCAATCCCCAAAGGGGTCACGATCCACAGATTGAGAACCGCTGCTCTAACCAATTGAGCTACTCAGCCAAGGCTGGATCCATAGAATCAATTCCAACTTCGTAGGCTAGCAACTCTACTGCACAGAGTCTGAAGGATCTCTGGGCTCTTAGCTAGCCTAAAGCTTCTTCCTGGCTCAAAAAAACCTCACAGTGCACAGGCAGCACACTCTCTGCAGACTATACAAAACTCTCTAGGAGGATCAACAGTAACCAAGGGGTCAGCAAGGTCTCCTAAGGAGAAAGTGGTTCTCTCTACTTCTCTAAAGTGGGACAATGATGCAAGTCACTCATGGAGGATGAAGAAGCCCAACTGCATTTCAGAGAACAGAGACAGTTGATCTTAGAGATCAACCCGGTAATGTTGAACCTCAGAGGGAAGGTAGGGAAGGGGGGGGCTTTTTAGAGTTAATTAAATTTTTTTGGCATTTATAGTATTGAAGTTAAGAGGCTTTTACTCTAGGAAAAAAAAAAAGATCAACCCAATAAGACTTGGTGAAACACAATTGCTAGTTGCCCTGAGAACAGCTCAAATCATCAGTCAACAGAACTTATTAAGTGACTTTGGGCCAATCAATTCCAGGTCTTGAAAGGAACGGTGTTCTAGCCCCTGCCCTTGAGGAAAACAAGACACATGAACCAAATAAGCTTTAAAACTATTACAGTGAACCACACGAAACTGCTGATAATCTACTATTTTTTACCTACAAAAATATTAGTTTTACCAGATTCAATCTAAATATCTGGACAACCATAGGGGAGCTGGAGAAGATGCAACAAGATTAACAAAAGAGGAGACAAGAATAGAATGTGTATAATTTTTTTAAAAAAATAATGGAATCGAGAGAAACCAAGATGGCAGCATAGGTAAACACCGGAAATTGCTGCCTCCCACAACAAATTCAAAAATACAACTAAAAGACAAAACAGACATCATCCAGAACCACAGGAAGGCTGGCTGAGTGAAAATTCTACAACTAGAAGGAAAGAGAAAAGCACACTGAGACTCAGAGAAGGTGCGGAAGTGCAGAGGTACGGAGGTGCACACGGCAGGGGCTGGCAACTGAGGACACGGCTGTCTTTTTGAATCGGGAAGGAGTCACAAGCCCCCGACTGCTCTGAACTCCAGGTACGGGTGAGTCTCTGGGGACCCAGACTCATACAGGGAGAGACTGGTCTGGCAGCGGGCAGAACTCGGAACTCGAGGGTGTCCTTCTCTCGGGGGTGTGTGCAGGGATTACCAGGACACTGAGACTTGGAGCCCCTTAGGGCAGGGTTGAGGATCAGCCATAGCTGCTTGCTCCACCCTGTTGATTCCCTGAGACCCCACCCCACCCAAGCTGTAGCAGAAGCTTTTGCCTATGAATGCCCTGGCCCTTTGCAATCTGAAAATTACCTAAAAAACTGCAGCTGGGCCAGACAGACCCAGAAATTCAAGAGAAGGCCCAAGA